TGTTATGAAGTGGCTCTGTTGAGTCTGCTTTAGAAGCGCAGTCAGGGACATTCTGGGAGGGATGCTCTTTTAACTGTTCCTGGCAGATCTGAATAAGGGAAAGAATTTTTTTGTCCTAGGATCCTCTTATAAAATGCAGGAAGCTCTGAAAGGGACTCTACCCTGTAGGATCTTAGGATCATAGTTTCGGAGCTTGAAGAGACTTCAGAGGGTATTTAGTCCAATATTTAGTCCACTTTCACATATGACAAAAAATGAAGTCTAGTGAATTTGTGACTTCCCAAAGGCCACACAGGTGGTGTTAGAGGTGGGATAGAAATCTTGACCTTTGACTCTTGATTCAGTGCTCTGTCCATTCTATCATGCTACTTCCTTAAATTTTTTCAACTTTCTTGTTCAAGAAGCTTTGCTATTCCATTGCCTTCTGGATATAATACAAATTTTGGAATTCAAGGTCCTTTGCAGCCTTTCAATACTGATTCACATTACTCCCCATCACACATTCTATGTTCTTGCCAAATGATCTGACTTGCTGTTCTCCATACAACATTCCATCCTCTTTCAGCATGATTTTCAGTTCTAGATCAACTTGTGTCCCATGAGCCTGAAATATATTCCCTCCTTACATCTAACGCTTGCAACTCCCAGGCTCCCTTCAAGGCTCCCTTCAAAGGCCACCTCCTACAAGAGGCCTTTTCTCATAACCCAGGTATTAGTCCTTCCCATGTACTCTGAAAATGACTTGGTATCCATTCTGTACATATTTTACATTTATTTATTTATTTGTGTACATACTATTTAACTGCAGTAGAATACAAGTTCCTAGAGGGTAGGGACCACTTAGTTTTTTGCTTTTGTAACTAGCAAAATGGTGTGTGGTAAGTCCTAAAATATTGACAAATGTTTTTGTATTTATTCTAATTTTCTAATGAATAATTTTCTTTTAAACATCCACTTCATGTGCAAATCATGCCCTGCCCCATGTAGACAATAAGTGTTTTTCTAAGACCCAAGAACTTTTAATCAAACAATACAAGTGTCAATGTAGATATAATTTATGAATTTGCTTATCTTTACTATTTTTAGTTACGGTGTAGCTATCAATTTATCTTACTGTTCTTGGTTTAATGTTTTCCTTCTATTGATGATTTATTTGGTAAATATGTGTCCATGTCAGAACTTTTCATCTTAGACTGAAAATTTTCATAGAGCCAAGTCTTTGAGTAGATAACTACTAACCACCTGGAACAAGATTGGGAAATTGACTTCTAACATGAAATAGGCACTTAACCTTCCACACTGTGAACCTTTGTATACCATTTTGTAGCTAAAGAACGGTGATGTAGTTCACTATGTGGAGGCCACTTAATGCTGTTGAAGGTTAGCCAACTACCTGTAATGCATTTTGTTTTAATTTTGATCTCTGGAAAATATCAAGAACAAGAAAACTTCCTTCCGACCCCTACCCCACCAATCACGGTCTCCATCATAAACACAGTATTGAAATAATACAAACATCTTAGATAGACCCTCTTTTGAAAATAAGAAACTTGCCTCACCCTCCTAACAGGACTGAAGTCTGAACAGTTTGTTCGCCAAGAGAGTGGGATTTGGCAGCACTCCTTGTAAACTACAGCCCCAGGAGGCTTCACTGTGAATTGAAATTGTTTCCTCTGGTCAAACTTTTGTTGGTGGTGCACCACCCCCCTCCACCCCAGGATATGAATTCATCATGTTTGTTTTGGGGGGTCAGTCTCAGGGGCAGCCTAGGTGGTGGTGGCAGCAGTTTGTGTGTGTGCGTGTGTGCGTGCGTGTGTGTGTGCATGTGTGTGTGTGTGTGTGTGAGAATACTTGGGTATTTCTGTAGAGATTTACCAGAATCTTGTATGACTACACTCCTCCTCATTCGTTTGCAATCCCTTGGAAAGTGATTGGTATTTAACCAGCAAAATCAAGGCCAGTAAAGAGGAAATGGTAAAGTGGAAAAGGTAGATGTAGCAGCAGGTCTCTCATGACCTAAGTCCACATCCCAGGTCAGCTCTCATGGACTCTGCCCCTATTGCATCCTGGGACATCTCTAGTTGTCCTGATCTATATATTGCCACTGGACCCAGATGGCTCCAGAGGAGAAAGTGAGGCTGGTGACTTCACACAGCCCTCCCTCACGTAAATCCAATTCACTTGCATGTCATGGCATCACTTCCCTGATGTTATAGTCTTCTTTGAGAACATATAACAAACAGTAACCTCATGCACTCTGCAATCTTCAAAGAATCAGCAACATTCAAAGGGGTGACATCCATGTGATTTGGATTTCATGGAAAGTGGCCTGGCTTAGTAATGGTTTTCCATTTAGAGCTTTTGCTGCTCAGTACTCTTTTTTGTGACCCCTAAAGATTCATAAAGACTGTCACAAACTACCTAGAAGACACCAAAGAAGAATCCTTCTTGATTTGAATCTATTTTGGATATGTGTTTAATAAAAAATGAAGATTCTCCTAAGCTACATGTTGTGAACAGTCAAAGGCCTGGAGTGAAGGTGTTTTATGGTGTGGGGAGGCAGGGAGTAGGAATGAGAGTCACTAACTATGTCACTTCAGTTTCTGCATTGAAAAAAATCATAAGCACTTAGTTGTGATGGCTTTATAAGTGAAAGGATTTAAAACAAAATGTTCTTTCAGAAGATGATCAGTAGGGATAGTCATGGAACCCCATGTAACAAATAAGCCCAGCTAAGCACAACAAATGTTCACATTGGCCATGACTGAAAAATTGTGTCAGACTCTGTCATCTCTCTGTCAAACATGGGAAGCATGCTTCATCACTGGTCCTCTGGAGTCATGGTTGGTCATTATATTGACTATAGTTCTTAAGTTTTTCAAGGTTAATTTTCTTTACTATGTCTGCATCCATTGTATAAATTGTTTTGGTTCTGGCTCAGCATTAGTTCATACAAGTCTTTCCAAGTTTTTCTGAATCCAATCCCTTTAGTCATTTCTTATATTAATAATATTGTGTTACATTTATATACATTAATTTTTTTGGCTATTCCTCAATTGGTGAGTACTTCTTTAGTTTTCAATTTTTTCTTCCAGCAGAGAATCTTCCAACATTTGAATCCTTTCCTTCTTTCTTTGATTTCACTGAGGTGTATGCCTAGTAGTATTGCTGGATCAAAGGGTGTATACAATTTAGGACTTTCGCAGTATAGCATCAACTTCCCCTAATGTCCAGACCAATTCACAACTCCACCTACAATGCATTAAAATGTGCCTGTCCTCCTTCATCCCCTCCAGCAATTGTCTTTTATCTTTTTTGTAATCATTTTTGCCAACGTCGTAAGTGTAAGGTAGAACTTCAGAGTTGTTTTAATTTGTAATAACAAAATAGTTCACTACAAATGTGATTAGGGTTAGAGTGATTCTAACAGATGGGGCAGGGTGTGAAAGGAGAGAGGAAAGGATGGAGGGAACTCATAGGTTTTCCTGAGACCATTGTGGCAGGTCAGTGATGTGTAAAGATATAGGGAATTTGCAAAGAATGCAGACTACTCCAAAGGCCTTCGGGCAAATGATTTACTCTTCTTACACTTACATCATCCTTTAGAATTTTCAAAGAGCTTTTATATGCATTAGATCATTGCATTCTTACCACAATTCTGTCAAGTAGTAAGTGCAGTTATTTTTATCCACGTTTTTCCAGAAGCCAGAAACTGAGTCTCAGGGGTTTTGAGAAACTTGCCCTTGCTCATATGGCTAGAAAGTGGCTGCTGGAGGCAGAAGCCAGGTTTTCAGTCCAGTGTTCTTTCTGCTATGTCATAAACTCTAGTGCTGCATGGGTGGATATAGGAAGAATTCTGGTGTAAAGAACAGTCTCGTCTCTTGCCAAGGATGTCATCAAAAAGAAGCTTGATCTATGGGTGCCCTGAAGCAGAGGAACTCTATGTCTCTGGAGGCAAAATTTGACAGATTTCACAAGGTTGGGATATCCTCAGAAAAACACAAGAAATGTTTAGTCCACAGAAGGCTTATCCCATCATGCCTGTCACTCACTATAAGCACAGATTCTCTCACTGAGGATCCTCTAAGTGATCAAAAAATAGCCAGCATGATTTTTGACTTGGAATATTCCAAATCCACAACTATAGCACTAAGATCTTTTTTTTTTAACTGAACCTGTGATTTCATCAATGTGGGAGCTCCCAGTAAAGAACCTCCTTTACCAATACATATTGTAAACCTCTCTACAACTTATAGACTTGGAGCCAAGGTGGTTAACCTGGGACTCACAGATCACCCTGGCTGCACCCCACCCCACCCCAAGGGGGCTGAGTCTGCATAGATTTGAGGGGCTCTGTGAACTTGGATCAGAAACAAGTTAAATTTTTATTTTCATTAACCTCTAACTAAGAATTAGCATTTCCTTCAATTATTTAAAAATGGCATTCTGAGAGGGAGTACATAGACCTCACTAGCCTTTCAAAAGGATCCTTGACACAAAGTAGGTTAAGAATCCCTGTGTTAGGGAGTTGTTCTGGACCCTGAGAGATTAAGTGAATTGCCTAGTATGTGTTAGAGTTGGGAGTTGAACTCAGATGTTCTGAGGCAGAACAGTACACCATCATTACACCAATGCTGCTTCTCTACGTCCATGCTAAGCATCTTCTAGCTCTTCCTTGGAAAGAACAGTTGGTGTGCTTATTCAGATTTAGTGTGTCAGTACAGCAGGGAAAGAAAAATAGTCGGTCATAGAAACAGACAAGACTTTTAAGTGGGGTACAGGCAGCAATTAGTAGGATATCCCCAAGAGATTGCCCTACTACTATCTTGTGGCTATGAAAGGCCAGTTGTTGGGCTGTCTGTCCATGAATGATGCAATGGTCAAATGTAGCTTGAATCAGTGGCGTGTGTGTGTGTGTGTGTGTGTGTGTGTGTGTTCGATAATGGCTACTTTATCCTCATGGTATTTCTTTTTTCTCTTACACAAATACCCATCTGAAGTATGTATTTACAAGAGGAAATAAAGTAGAAGAACCCCACGGGGAAGGTAACAATACTTCATACCAGATGGTTGAAACTATCTCTTGGAGTTTCCTGGATCATTTCCCAGTGATATGTTGACCAAGTTGCTTCTTTAAAACTGGTAAGTTCCCAGTGTTTAGTGTTTGCTGTTATTTAATAAGTTTGGCTTTACAAAATTACCCCTTCAGAAGTTGGTAATTTCCTCTTGTGTATTATATTTCCAATTTAGGCTGTTGTCACTGGTTTAGTGCCTAAGTATGCCTGTGTAGGACAATAGGTTAGGTTTCTCATAGACATGAATTTTAGAATCAGATTATACCATATAATATATCCAATTATGTATTTTACATTAAATAAATTCCATTTAAATAAACACAGCTATTATCAAATCACTCATTACTAAAATTCATTACCTTAAAAAATAACCCAAATTAGAAATAAATTTAGAGAAAAACTAACACATAGGAATAATTTGGTACTTTTCCTAAACTATATTGCTTAATCTATTTTTAATAACTTAAGAGCTTAAATTACTATTAAATTAAATTAGACAGCTTAATATCGCTGTCTAATTGGACTCACAATCTGTCTCGAAGGTTGAGTAAACAACACACCCTGAGGCAGTCCAAAGACCCTCTTATTGTAAATATTGGGAAAAGCATAGAAGAAGGCATAGCATGCTTGTTAAGGGTGTTCACCATTGTGATGAAGGCAGTGCAGTGCAAAGCTCTAGTTGAAGAGGGATTCTCTGTGGATGGCAAGGTTCTCCAGATGATCCAGTTTGCAGATGACATTGTGCTGATTGCATCAAGCTCTGGAATACTGAAAAGGTTCCTAGATAAGATCCACAACCACTCAAAAAAATTTGGTCTGGCTGTTTATGCTGGGAAGACCAAGCTAATGAGTTTCCATTGCCCAAATTATGACATGGAATTGGATGGACAACCTAGGGACTTATTCGTAAGTTTGTATATCTAGGACCAACGGTATGAATAAATAATGAATTGCGCTTAGAACTAAACAGAAGAAAGAATATTATAAATACCCAAATTAGCTGTAATGGACATATGAAGAAAGATGCTATCTGCAGCCAGAGAAAGAACTGATAAATAGGAGTATGTATAGAATAAGTTTATATATGTGTGTGTGTGTGTGTGTGTGTGTGTGTGTGTGTGTGTGTGTGTGTGTGTGTGTGTATATGTCTAATGGTAGCCACCTCTAGGGTAGGAAGATGGAAAAAAAGGAAAAAAAAGAAATTTACATGATAACTTTATTATATATTTAAAAGGAATAGCAAGTTGTATGTAATAGATTTGCAGTTTTACATGCAATCATCCTTTTTTAATTATACTGCTAAGGAAAAGCATGCTTTATCCCATAAATTAAAATAATTAATTAATTAATTTTTAAAAAGAAAGAAAAAGAGCAGGATGGATTTCCTCCATGAAACTTTAAAGCTCCTTTAAGGACTCTAAGCTTCTCTTGGAAAGAAAGCCTCATAATGCCAATATTCCACTAGTGTTGTCATTTGGTTGTGAGACATAGAGCACAACAGTCTCCAAAGAATTGTAAATGAATATGTCATAGAGGACAATTGAAAGGTGTAGTGGGTGTGGGCAGGTTGAAACATATAATCATGAAGAATTTCAAAGAACAGGAGTAAGATGTCATCATGGCAACATATCATATAAAGAGAAGATGGGTTGATCACATGGCAAGAGTGAGGGATGACTGCTGAACAGCCTGAGTTCTCCACCGGTCTCTTCAGTATGTCAAGAAAAAGTAGGAAGGGCTACTTCGATGAAATTATGGGAGAGCATAGGCAAGAGTAACACAGGATGGGCCAGTATTGATGGGTTGCAATGTGCATTGTTGGGAGGATATCCAAAGCAATGAGATCATAAATCCATTTGAGGATATATATGCACATGCTGTCTCAATTGAGCAAGGACTGTTTCAATTTTGTCTTTGTATTATCAATGTCTAGGACACAATAGGTGCAGCTAAATGGTACTTGGAGTTAGGAAGACTAATTCTGCCATGGAGTAGCTATGTGACCCTGGGTAAATCATTTAAACTCATCTCAGTTTTCTCACTTGTAAAATGGGGATAATAATAGCACTTACCTCATAAAGTTGTTGTAAGGATCAAGTGGATTAACATGTAAAGTGCTTTGTAAACCTTAAAGCACTATATAAATGCTAGCTATTATTATTAATACATGTTTTGGTGCTGAATTGATTGATTATTCATACTATGATATAAATCTTTAAAAGCTTCATGCATTACTTATCCTATGGACACTTGTATTTTAGCAGGTATTAAAACATTGTATTAAAGAGATGAAGTTTTGATATGGGCTTTCAGGAAAGTCATCAAATGCAAGATTTCTTAGGGGATCAGGTCTTTCTAAGCAACAAAATCATTATGCACAGTTATTCTCCTACTCAACACATTGGTAAGGCTGACCTTCATATCTTTCATAGAATCAGAGAATATTAGAACCACAAGAATATTTAGAGATCGTCTAATCCAAGTGGAGAAACTAAAACCTTTCTGCTTTTGCAAGACCAAATCAACATCAATTAATTCTTTTTAGTTTTCTAGATGCCTTTGTGATGCTTTGGAAGAACTTGTGCTACTGACTGAAACTGTGTTGTGGTATTTGTCCTGATTGAATCCATGGATCTGCTCAAGCTGGGGCCATTTGTTTGTAAAGTTCTCTCTCTGTCTCTCTATCTCTACTTGTCTCTTTCTCTTTCTGTCTCTCTGTGTTTCTCTCCATCTCTCTCTTTCTCTCTCTCCATTCTTACTGGCTTGATTACATTTTCAAGTCTTCTGCATATTGTTTGTACTATTTTGTTTTATATCCTTAGAAGTAGTAGTACCTTTATATCTTTGAGAGAAATATGAACTGTGGCTTCTCAACCTGTTAGGGAGGTTTCCTGCTAAGAGCAGTAATAAATATATTAAAATTGGTTTGACCAAGAAGGAAACTCAAGTCCAGAAAGCATTCATGGTAAAATGAAGAAAATGCCCATCTCATCTTCTCAATCTTTGATTGATAGAGATAAATGGCCAAAGAAGTTTCCTGTGTTATTTTTACCACATGGGCTATTTTTCCTTCACCCCATGAAGGAAATGAGGGTGGGAAGTTGTGGGGAGGTCTTCTAAAGACCATACCCTAAGGCATTTCCCTTCCACCTTTGCAGTGTCGCCTCCCAGAGGAGCTTTTTCAGTACAACAGATACAAAGGCAACTGTTTACCAAGGCATATGGAGGGCTCAGTGACTAGACAATGCAGAAACAGGTAGTTTCAAATACGGTCCCGTTACTCACATTTATTTGGCACAGATTACTATGGTAACAGGATTGGCATAGCTGTTTCCTCTTTCACTTCTTAGTCCACATATCAGCCAACTCTTCCAGGGTACTATCTTGATCCCTGGGTCACTCTGTCCTTTTTTTTTTTTTTAAATCAATCCATAGGGTACTTCATGAACTTCTGAATTCACTGAAGGCATTCAACCAGAAGCTAGATGATTGAAAACTTCTGGGAAAGTTGTAAAGTTGATTCTTACATTCAGTAGAGGTTTAAGCAAAATGATTCTAAATATCTGTAATTTTAAATGTCATAGAAAATTTCTTTTGGTTTGCATGTAGTTATTACCTCAATTAGGATTATACATTCAAACCTGGAAGGGACCTTGGAAGTCATATAGTTCAACATCCTCATTTTATAGATGAGGAAACAACCACAAAGGTGGTTGAGTGACTTGTCCAAGATCATAAAGGTAGTCAGTGATAGAGCTAGGATTTGAACCCAGGCCCTCTGACTCTAGATTCATCACTCTTTCCATAGTACCAATCTGTGCCCAATTTTTAATTATTAAAAATTGATCCATATTATTTTGTGTTTATTCATTCATATGAAGAGTCCAGAAAGGGAAGGAAGCAAAGAGCTACAAATGTAATTGTAACGGACCTTTGGCAAAATAGATTGGGTTCGTTTTTAGGCTCTCCTCAAGAATATTCTCCATGGCTTATTTTGCTTCTACTCAGGGAATTCTATCCTAGGAAACTTCAGAATTTGGTTCATGCCTCCCATAGGCCATTGGCTTCCCTGTAAACATTCAAGTATGCTATGACAGATTCTATTTAGCCTGACAAAATGCAGAATGGGTTCATATGTGAACCCCTCAGTAGTTAAGAAAATTCTCTTAAGCAAACCTCTCCTCTTTTTGTATCCCATTTTCCACCTGGACCTAGGGGATCCATATGGATAGTTTGAGTTCTTTCTCAGCGCAAATTAGTCTCTGATGTGCCTTTTCTTACGCCTTTGGGCTGTGTAGATGGTGTAGGTTATGTTAGATGTCTATTCTCCTTTTCTACTGAATCTTTTCTAAGCTCTAAATTCTTTTTCAGTCTCCCCTTTACACACCTCTATCCAGATGTGTCATCTCCACAGAATACAGTTTCTACCTATTTGTTGGGTCCTTTGTTAACATTCCCTGAGGGCAGCTGCGTGGACCTCTTTCCAGATCCTCATGTAGCCCAACATTTGTCTGGTAGTACAATAAGTCCTAAGGACAAGGAGAGTCCATACTTTGTCTGGAGAATTCCTACCTAGTTTAAGAGGTAGTACAGTAGAAAGGAACTTACTTATTCCTCTGTGCACCTGCCTGGCCATGTCTACTATGTGGAATTAAATTCATTAAGTTTATACAATTTCCATGGTGTTCTGAGACAAGTTTGGATGTGATTCTTTCCCTATTATTTCCTTATTGGGTATGATTCTTTTTCTTTATTAGAGAAAGGGGTGGGAGGCAGAAAGAGATGAGGATGAAGGTGAGAAAAAGAAGAAAGGAAAAAACAAAGTCATGATTAATGTTGAAAGTTAAGGATCTGGCATCAGAGAGAAGACTAGTAAAATTAGAAGTTTGGGTTGCCAGCACGAGTGAAATGTTCTGTTCTTGGTATCTTGACCATTTTGAAAATAAGGTAAATACCAGTCCAATATTTCACAAAAGACAATGACAGTCCAGTTGGGGTACAGGAATTCTGAAGAGGAAACCTCCACTATCCCAGAATCTTAGAATGGGAAAGGACCTCTGAGGCTATCTACTCCATACCATTCCTAAAGAAAAATTTCTTCTATAACATATTGGACAAATTATCATGCAGCCTGTTCTTGAAACATCCAATGAGAGGAAATCCACTACTATCTAAGGCAGTCCATTCCACTTTTGGCTAACTCTAATTGCTAGAGAGTTTTTTTGATACATCAAGTCTAAATTCATTCCTCTGAAGCTTCATTCCATTGCTTCTAAATCCCAGTCCCTCTGGGACCAAGAAGAAAAAAATTTCATCCTTCACCCATAGTGAAGTGTTCAAATGTAGAAAGCTATCATGTCCCTGAAGAAGTGTTCTTTCCAGGCTAAACATCCCAATTCCTTTAGCAGATCCCCACATGGCATGATCTTGAGTCCCTTTAGCATTCTTTTAGCCATCCTCTGGATTCTCTTTATCGTATCAATTTCCTTAATAAAATGTAGCACTCAGAACTGAACATAATACTCAAGATGTGTTCTGACTGGAATAGAATAGAGAGGGACAATCATCTTCCTAGTTCTGGACACTATGCTTCTCTTAATTTAACCTAAAATTGCCTGCCATATCCTCTGGGCCTAGGTCCATGCCCATGACCTCACTCCATACCTATAGCCCTTTTTCTCGCTATAATATGCAACTTAGCAATTTTGAAATTGGCAATAAGACACCCACAACTACTTGAAAAGGAAACCATAGTCTCTTATTAGTATCAATTTGCTTTTAGAGGAATGAGGCAGATTATAGCATTTATAAAAGAGGAAAGCTCAAATTAAAGTGTCTTTGTTATTACATGCCGACTATGTGGTGATATAATTGTTTCATGTCTTTTTCTCCCCAGATATAAAGACATTAATACTCAAAAGAACTTGGAATGACAATATGGAAATTGCATACATATGAAAGTCTCTGCTCTATTATAAATGATAGTTTCTGAATATTGAATACTTCAGCAGACCAGTGATATCAAGGCCTTCCCTGCATAGGTGGAATGTGTAGCTGTGAAAGGATGGGTACCCAGCCTACTTTATCCTATTTTCAGTTGAATCAATGAGCAATCGCCTCCCTGCCTTGTAGAGTCCTGAGACACATTTTTGCACAAGTATAGACAGAATCCAGGGTATAGTGGACTCAGACTTAGAGAATACATGTAGTAAGAAGGTGACTCACAGCTCCTGGTTGGATAGAAGTCCTTTACTCGCTTCCTTGGCCTCTATGGTCCCTTTCAGCTCTAAATCTATGGTCCTATGATTGATCCATCAATCAACAAGCATTTATTAAGTATGTACCATGTGCCAGTCACTCTGCTAAGCACTGATGACAAAGACAAAAAATGAAACAGTTTCTGATCTCAAGGAGTTTACATTTTGATGGGGAATATAATATGAAAAAATATTTTAAGACACATGCAAGTAAATAGGAGGTGGTTTGGGGAGAGATTGCCCTGGCAGCTGGGTGGCTCAAGGAAGCCTTCGTAGGGGGACTTCTCACCTGGATGGAAGCAGGCAGTGTAGCTTACCCAAAAATATTCCAGCAAAACCCCAAAAGTCACGCTACACTAAATAATAATCAAGTAATCCGATGAGAAATTAGAGTACATGCCTTCTTCTTCCCCAGGTCTGCACTAAAAGTCAGCCAGAAGCCGACTTAGGGAAGGGGACTACCTTCAGAGTCAGTGCCGATGCAGGCAAGCCAGGTGGCAGCTTCCCAGCATGATCAGAAAGAGGGGTTTGTATGGCTCTGTATCTGGAAATAGCAAAAGTAGAGGGAAAACCCTGAGAAAGACCTACAGTGTTTAGAAACTCATAATGGGGACCTTAGAAGCAGTCTGGTCACCACAGATCTCAGACTAGGACACTTGAGGCCTAGGTCCCTAGCATTCTGTCCAGAGACACCATAGATGGCCCTGAAGATCCAGTGCTCTGCACCTCAAAGATCCAGAGGGTCTACTCCTGGGAGGTGAAGATCAATGCAGTAACCAGTGTGAACCACTTTGAGATCAACCAGAACTGACCACCCCACCCAAAAGGACAGCAGGAATGTGGACCTGGCACAAAGCCCCATTTTAGGAACTAAAGCCAGAGAGATGAGCAAGTAGAAGATATAGACCACTTTAAAGGATCATAATAGATTCAAACATACCCCAAAAATCCAATCTGGAAGGAAAGAATAACTCTATAACAACTACAAGCAGAGGCTCAAAAGAAAAACTGGATTTTCAATAAAGACTATATAAATACCTAGCAGAAATTAAGTAAGAGATAAAGAACATTAAACAAAAATTCTGAAGGCAAGGATTGGAAAGAGAATATATAGTGGAGAACGAAATGTGATAAACCTTATCTAATAATGAACTTCCTGAAAATTAGAAAATTAGACCAAACAAAAATCAATGACCTCATGAGATAATGAGAAAGATTAGAACAAAATGAAAAGTTTGAAAAAAAATTGAAGAAAATTTAAGGTATCAGCTGTAAACACACACACACACACACACACACACACAACCCCACAAAAACAGATGACCACAAGAACAAATGAAAGCGAGATAATCTAAGTATCACTGAACTCTGTGGGGGAAAAAAAAAGATTAAAACACCTGGAGACTATGTTTCAGGAAATCATAAATTAAAACTACCCAGATCTATTAGAACCAGAGAACAAGGTATAAATATAAAGAATCCACCCCCTGAAAGGACTACAAAAGGAAAAGCCCTGAAATGTCATCGCCAAAATTGATAGTTCCCACATCAAAGAAAAAAATCTGCAAGCATTGAAAAAGTGGTAGTTCAAATAACAAGAAACCAAAGTCAAGATCACACAAGGCCTGGCAGCTTCTGCTATAAAAGAGAATATATTGTTACAAATGGCCAAAGATATATACTTATGACCGTGCATAACTTACCCTGCAAAGCTGAGTATAGTCTTATGGGGGAGGGAGTACGGGAAGAGGAATGGATCTTTTACTCAAACAGAATACTTTGAAGAATTCATGTTGAAAAGGACAGAG